ATTGAAGTTCAGGGTGATTGTGTTTAATTTATAGCAATATTTTGCGTCTGCGTATTCTGGTTTTGTATATAGTGGTATAAAGATCATTCGTTGGGCGTCTTATATTCATGTTCATGTCTCTTCAGGATTGGTGTCTTACTAACTTATTTGTATTATTATTATCATCAAATTGAACAAAATTTGTTTTTTATAAACTATAATGCTTTAAGTAATAGTTTACATTTTCAATAGTTCGCACGATTTTTCTAAAAAGAAAATGATTTCAGAAAGTAAGTTTTATGACTCGTGCGGTCTGATTTTATGGTGTATTCGGAAAGGCCTAATATGATCAAGCAAGTAGAGTTTAACACTATCTATCTTAGCTTTGCGGGTGTCGGGATTGCAATTTCAAATTATAATAGCTATGAAAATTAGATAAGAGGATGCATGATAGTCTAGATACGACTAGAAACAGAGTAGAAAAGCAGATTGGGGGTGCCAATATCCAGGAAAATACAATACACCAGTGCTGTCTTACTTTATACATTACTGTGTACCTCCGCCTCTGAAAAGGCTATTTACACACCACTACTCACTATGCACACACTACTAATAATTTATATAATGTCTACTATTTATATCAATCGATTATTTATACTGACTGCTGACTACAAAGCATATGTAAATCTGTAAATCACATTTTACGAAGTAAATTTCATTTGTAGCAATCTCTCAGTAGATCGAGGTTTAATGCATTAAATGTGAACATCCTGTTCCGCCCGCCTATGACTACTGCTACTATCTCCGAACTCAAATAACGTTACGAAACGCGATCTCGTTTAAAATTCAAAGCGAGATTGGGGGGCTGGTCTTAAATATTTCTAGTGAAACGAACGAGTGCCGTGCAACGTAGGAACTAGAAACGTAAACCGTTTGCCAGTCGCCATGTTAGCGGACTAGTTAAATATGAGAGGGAGGAAGTAGATAAAGAAATTGGGCTAATCTTGAACAAGACATCCGTCGCCTTTAGATTAATACATTAATCTGAATTTAAATTAGCTTTAAAAGTCTATCTTTGTACAAGGAACAGTTCGCTTCAGAATTGCAAATCCGAAGATACGGTGTGCCCGCCCAAGTTGCCTTACGCCGTCAAATTCTAAACGCATATATGAATAGCATTGCTATATTTCGAAAATATTACTTCTCGCGAAATAAGTAATACAAATTATAAGTAATTATAGTCTCTACTCCCAACGCGTGATTCAAGTGGAAACTAACTTTTGTGTCGGTAGAATACATTGCCTTTAGATAAGATTTAATGGGAGCAACGCAACCAATGTTCCCATTCTATTCGTTAAATGATCAACAGAATAAATTCCCTGTTACTTGTTATCCAATCGCTTAATGGGCATGATCGTCTTAAAACCACTTTGCAAGATGTCACAGTGACAAATAAAATTTGACTAGTGAAGCACAATAAAATATTGACCGCTTAGGGTCTACATGAACTCCCAACAGTCAATGCAAAAAAGTAGTTTTAGAAAATACCATCAATTATAATATAATATAAATAATAGTAATCATATCATATAATAATAATCTCCAGTCCCTCCAATCATAATCATTCGGGTTTTTTTGTGTCATTAATCGTTTTTCTTTGATGGTATCCCTTAAGGTTGTACATACATTTTTTATATGACTACATCTTCCCTAATATCCAATTTACATTGCCAATCTCTTTGACATCGGCTCTGTTTTCTCTCATACCTCAGCACCGTATACCTCGTTCCCTATCTTGTTATTGTGATACGATATCCTCGCCGTCAGCTATAATTACATGGTCGTCCACGAAAAGCAAGGTGAATAGTTCTTCACCTTGTACGTCTATTCCCATGCCTCTGCAACTGCGTCTCCAGTCGCTTAACGCTGCATTAATATAAAATTTATATAAGCTTGTCTCAGTCCTTTGGTGGTTGGCAAAAGTTCGGCTATTCTGGTTCCTATTTTTATGCTGCCTGAAATCTCTCATTCTTTAACAGCTTTAACATATGCAGGACTGATTACAGCCTGTAGTAATACAGGCCATAATTTAGCTACGGGAACACTATAAGATTAACTGGGTGTCCCTATATCTTGTAATTCTTTTTTCCATCAGCCTGTGCGAAAGCTACTCTGTTCTTCCACGTTGTGTAGCTACTTTTCAGTTCTACTGAATTCTTAATATCTTCCCATTCAACCTTGAAAGGGAGTTTGTGACACTCATACTATTTTAATGAACAATTAAAAAATCATTTTTCATCTTTTTCATCGAAGAGATCAATCTCAACGTCATTATAAGGCATTGTGATTAAATTTCCGTCAGTAGCCTGATACTCTATGTTTCTAGTGTCTAAAGGATATTAAAGTAAGTGATTTTAAGATGCACCTAATACTTCTGTAGATTTACTCCTTCCAAGATTTTCCTCTTCTTTCCCGTGCGTCATTCTTGGTCGTCATTTTTACCTTTTTCACATCTCTACAATAGCGACTATAGTAGTATCTTTCACAAACTTTTAAAGTTTAAAAATACGTAATAAATTTATATAATATAGATGTGTAAATGTCAAAAAATGGCAATATTTTATTACTTTCAGAATAATCTGCTTCTGTTGTTCGATTTGAAGTGTATAATTTTTACCGTTTTTTGGCAAGTAGATAAATTATGTTTTGCGATTAGCAGCATTTTAAAATTAGGAACAATCCAATATGAATGGACTTTTAGTATTTTGTTTGTTTCTGTTATGTTTTGCTGAATCCAGTATGCCATAAAATAAGCTTACCAAAATCTACTCAAACTTTTGACTTCATTTTTACCGAATAAAAGAAAATCGGCAACGTAGTAAACCTCCAATGGCCCGGAAAAATGGCGCCTCGTCGCGTTCGGCAATGAAAATAAAAAAGCGGTTTAAAAGGATTTCGTCGGTGACAAAGGTTCGCCATCGGCATCATATCGTTTCGATCTTTTTTTGTATCGGTGCGCCGATTTTGGACATCGAAATTTCCCCGACGGCAATCAGAATTCGCCATTTTATTTGCACGCTGTTATAGCATCGTTTTTGAACTTTCAATTGGCAACGCAATTCACGAGCGCCATTTGCGCTTAAAAAGGGGAACAATTAAAATCAACAAGTTTTTCTTCAATTAAGCCCGAATTTACCACGAAAATGGAGTGGGGTTGGGAGGTTGCTGCTATTTTAATTTTAGAGCTCGCTGCTATAAATAATTCAGTACTTGAAAGCTCAAACCATTCGCCAAGAAACCAGGAAATTTTTCGTTCCCAAATGCTATATTTTTCCCTGCAGGAAATTTGACCAAGAATTTCCAATTATCTCTTCTTAATTTTGTTAAGAATTTCCTAAATATTTGTACTGTGAAACGCGAAACCATTGGCTGTCAGCTGATTAGTATCGACAAATTAGTCTTATCAGTCACGTACTTAGGCGTTTCTCAGGATAAACCACATCAGAATTTATAAGAAGTCTGAGAAGATGAGCGGAGGAACGCAATTTGGATCTACTAAGGGACTGAGAACAAGCGAAGCTTTGTTTTTAAAGCTCTTAACAAGACTACCAGAGATTGGGATAGACGAGAAAGACATCTTAATAATTGAACAATATATTGGAATCAAACAGCCGAAGTAAAGGGAAACAATACAATCTTGACTAACGTATTTGATATAACCAAAGGTGTAAGACAAGGGACTCATTCTTACACCCGTGCTTTTCAACATCTATGTAGAAAAAATATTCCGCTTGCTCTCGAAAACGAGTCCAGATGCTTCAGGGTTAATAGAAGTCCCATCAACAATATCAAATATGGGGATGAGACAGTTGCAATGGCCCAAACTTTGGAAGATCTTCAATATATTTTAAGTAAAATAAATGACTTTGGCCAGGACAACCTTTTGAGAGATTCAAAATGTCCTCCTACAACAACATTAATCGTCCAACTAAATGTAATTGAGTTCTATGGCCTGTTATATTGTATGGTGCGGAAACCTGGTCATTTAAGATGAGGTCAATAAAATGACTCGAAGCGTTTGAGATGTGGACTGTTTGCAAGCTACTTAAAACCTCATACATTGAACACATTTCAAACGATAAAGAGCTGGAGTCAAAAGACAACTCTTGGACACACTACAGTCCCGAAAGATCTGGGGCACTATTGAAGAGGACCTCGCTACGCTGCTCCGAAGTTGGTCTAGCAGGTCAAAATGGAACGTCGAAGAGGACCAGGACGCAACACTTGTGACTTCGGAACATCATCGTAAATCATCTGTATACCTGATCTTCTTTATGGTCCTCACATTGACTACAATTCCTGTTATGTCATCCAACAGTGCCTCTTGAAGAATGTATCCTGAAAATAAATTACTACTGTACGGGATGTAAATGTCTTATACTTCACATGATTTTTCACAAGAAAAAAGTAAAAAGTTAATATAAACGTGTTGCCTAAATACTTCGATTTCGAGTTTTATTTTCATATTCCTTTGTTACTGAGTAATTTTGCTACATAACTCGGCTTTTGGAACAAAAATTGGTACTTGGAAGCTTTTAAACATGACAAAGTGGAAGTCGTTCTTAATTTAAACGCTTACGACTTTTTGTATTATATTTTCTGTAAAAAAAAGATGAAGTAAATTCAAACTTGTATAGAAAATTCATTTCTTTCAAAGTTTTCTCTTTGGAGATTCTCGTTAATCCTTGGGCACAAATCGATATGTCATAGTCGAACACATTGCAACTATTTTTGCAACTCCGAATGATGAGTTCCAGTGGTGAAGAGCTTTAAAAATAATAATTTTCTCATTTTTAACATGCTCAGATTTACTCATACCTTTTTTAGGAACAAATTTAAAAACAACTGCCCGAAATGTACTATAATTCTTTCGGGACCCTTGACTATCATTATACGTTCAATACTACGCTTATGGAATAAGGATAAGACCACTCGTATTACATATTATTTCTTTGTTACAGAGCCGTATCCGACCGATCGTTTCGAAGATTTGGGCTACGGTTCTGCTGAACCACATTTCGGATCGGCAGCGAGCGACGCTTTTCGGAAGGGCGGTGCTCCGCCGCCCAGTTCCGACTTCAGAACGGCTAGCGAGCCGCCCAGAGGTCCGTTCCAACAGCCTGGCGCGGTTCTCATGCTTTACGGTCTTGATCCGCTGCGTACCAATGCCGACAAAGTCTTCAATCTGATGTGTCTCTATGGGAATGTCGTAAGGGTAAGTCTCGACTTATATGTAGAGTATGAAACAGTTCTAATGAGGACAAGTTGGCTCTTTGAGGTTGAACAAAGACAAAACCTGTTAAGACCTGTAAAGAATATATGTTAAATTGAACGGCAAATCCGTCCCAGAGGGCGAAAATATGTGTGCTCTAATTCGCAGGCTTAGAGATTAGCTTAGTGTAGTCCTGCATTTCATATGGCATAGTATTCTGGGGTTCCTTTCAAAACCCAGAAAAAATTACTAATTATATGTTTAAGCTACATTCCAAGACTTCCTGCTACCCGTATTTTGACACTCTTCCATCCTCACCTTCCTTCAAGTCGACTTTTATGCTATGTCGATGACGACTGTCACCAAGAACAGAACCGGACTGAGAATTCCTGTACACAAGTCAGTCTTTTTAAAAAGGTCGGCATTATCGGCAGTAAAGGCATATCAGTCTAGCGACATAGTAATGATTGAAAAGAAAGATAAATTTAAACGAGAGGTGATCATACTATCTGATGCTAGTTTTGGTTAGTTACAGCACCATGCACCAAATTTTCTTCGAAATTTTTATTTCAAAGACGGTAAGAGGATACGTATAGGAAACTTGAACAAAGTTGAATAGTTTCTTTCCTAAAATTCGAAAATGAAAGAATATATAGGATGGGCTATTTAAAAAAATAAACCGTGTTTTTAGAACTTCCGTACAAATTTTATTTTTGAAACACTCTGTATGTTCCATCTAAAATATTATGCCGGGAAAGAATTCGTGATTCTCTCTAGGAACTGACTGGAAAAGGCTGTTTGAAGTACAGACAAGTTAAGATTTTGCTTAAAAATCTGGGAAATTATTTTTCTTTTCGATACCGGTAAGACATAGGTAATAGGGAAACGCGAACAAAATCTACTTTATTTATTGCGTAGAATCTAACAATGAAATGATATACAGAGGGTGCAAGATGTTGCCACGTTCTTATACACACTTCAACACTTATACTTGAAAATATTTTAGAGTGATAGAGCACCTCCTCTTACATCCCCCTGTATAATTTAAAGTAAATGCGTTGATCCGTTCGCTAGTTAATTCTAATAAACGTTTCACTGTGTGCCATTGTGGTATTTTTGTTATTTGTTTATGTGTTGACCTGGTAACTATACTTAGTGAAATAATTGTCATTTAAATTATTATTATTATTATTATTATTATTGTTATTATTATCAACAGACAAAACTCACACATTGACTCTAACCAGGATGGTAAAGTCTGTTCATAGATATAAGAAAGTGACCAACTGATACGAATTAAGGAAAGACCCGCGCAAGCTGTAAGAATGAAATATGAAACAGGTCCGTACTTTGCTTACAATTTAATTATTTGGGATTTTGTTAGAAAATATACTAAACAATATATATTTATTTATGTATGTATTTATGTTTAAATCTAAAATAAAATTACAAATTATTTTTATTACCTACTTAAATTACTTAAAATTATTCACATAATATATCAATATCACTATCGCTATCATCGCCTGTTCTAATTATTATTTGTTCTATATTGTTTGCAATATGCATATACGATTGTTCTGCTTTTTCTATATGTTTAACCGAATTTGCCCAACTTTGTGGAGGGATGTTAAAAACTTCGGTTTCTATAAGTTTGAGGACATTGGAGTTAACACGGGGAAAAACATTGTTACGACGAATGGCAGATTTCATTTGGTGCCAAACATGTTCAATGGAATTAAATATACAGTGGTATAATCTTCGTGAAAATAAATGTCGTTATTATACATGTAGTTTTGGATTATTGCTTTTGTGTCACATGAGGAAGGGGTTTTAGTCAACTGTCTACTGTGATAACTTGCATTGTTTATTACAATTACGCTATTAGGAGGAATATTTGGAACTAGTTTGTTTTTAAACCAACTTTCAAATAAATCTGCGGTGGTGTCTTCATGGTAATCCAGAGAAGAATCTTTAATATTTTTCGCAGACAGAGAAAATCCATTTGACATCCAACCATCTTTAGAGCCAGCATGCAAAATAGTTATTCTTTTACCTCTTTTAGGTTTGTTTACACTTATCAGTTGAGTCAACCCAACCCTTTTCCGGGGTATCATAAGTGTCGAACCAGGTTTCATCCAAGTAAATAATTGGCTTTTGTTGTTCTCTGTAAATCCTAATTTTTTCTAGATATTCCAGTCACCATTTCCGAATTCTAAAAGATTCCATTAAAACTTGCCTTTTGTCGATTTTTTTAAATCTAAAACCCGTGTTGAATACACTTCCATAAGGTAGTTCTGCCACATTTAACGCCGGTTTCATCTTTTTCAAGCCTCCTAATTGAGATATCTAATGTAGGCACGCTTTGTTCCTCGTATAACTGGTAAATTTTACGTCGTATTATATCTTGAGATCACTTTCATCTACACTCGAGAAAAAGTCAGCATCGCTTCTTTTTTCCCCGCTGAAATGGGATTATTCACAATTGATACAGTTGATATTGGAATTTTCGTCAATGTGGCCGTTTCTTCTAAAGATGCTTGCTTGCTAGCATGAGAGTCAAATAAACATTGTTTAGAACTTCCTTAGTCTCAATAGAATAGCGTTTTCGACATTTGGGCGGGAGCATGTCCTGAGCTACCACTAGATTCGCACATATTTTGCATAATTCGCACACGATTCAACACACGCTGTATTACACACAATAAGCATGGTTACTAATAAACTTAAACTAAGTAGTACACCAAACCAAAGAATATTAAACACAGGTAGCTATAAAATTATTTTCAATTACGGACCACAATTTTACCTGATTTTAAATTCCGAAACTTTAGGTAATAATCTTGTTGCATTGTATGTTAATGGCCACCCTTGGATAATCCCATTAAAAAGCAATTGGTCACTTTCTTATATCTATGAACAGACCATACCTGCATTCGATAAAAAAGAATCCAATGAAATCAATGCCAACAATGAAAGTAGCCTTACTATTCGTTGGGTCATTCTGTAGGACCTTCGCATACCTACTGGGGTTTTAGACTGTGTAATTTTTTCGTGACTGCTACAGCACATATTATTATTATTATTGTTATTATTATTCTTTTTATAGAGCGCGGTTCAGGGGATCAAAACACGCAAGTGTAGCGTGAAAAATTTAGATTGAAAAATTTAGATTGACACAGGGTGTCAGCTGCAAGGGACCTTCTAGAACTTCTTTGTCGCGCGCCACTGCATAAATTTGCATTTTTTTCAAATACGTTCTGCCTTTTAATTAACTTTCTTTTTACTGACTTTTCCCGATCATAGGTTTTTTTGATATGTCGTTTAGTTTTCGAGCTATTCCACAAAATTGCGTACATAGCTCAGCTACGTTGGAAAAATGTTTACTTAATTAGCAACATATCTTGGAGAACAAAACACATCCTGCCATAAACTAGGGTAAGCCAAAATAAACTCCATTGTTGTTTGTGACGTTAGTTGTGAACTTTACTGAGCAAAAAGATGCCCAGAACTTTTACAAATACTGAATACGCCGACACTCATTATGCTTATGGTTTCTGCGACGGAAATTCTATTGCTGCCGTTGAACAGTGAATTTTTCAAAATAAATTCACATTTTCTGCAACATCTTCTATCGAGAGATGCGTCTAATTTCACGAGAGCTGGAACCGTGAACTATCATGACTTTCATCCACGAGCTCAGTGCAAATGTGTCGATTGCTGTTATAAATAACAATCTCCTCGCGTAAATGCCAATTTGTTCCATATTTTTCTGTAAAACTTTTTGAAGTTCTTGAAGTTGGATACAATTAGACCGTGTTCCTGCACACTATGGATGGCAAGTGCTGTAGTGGTTGGACGAAAATTATCCTGGAGGATGGATAGGACTTAATAGATTAATTGAAAGAATACAGAACATCTGTAATATCTTAAGAAACGATCCCATTACAATTCGAGCAGCAGTTAGTACATTTTTCAGAGTCATTTTGTTTTGAGCCTGTTCCATAATAGTGTCCGGAATTTTGTGGAATATCTCGAAAACTCAAAATGTCGGAAAAAGTTACAAAGTTATAAAATTGCCCAGTGGCGTGAGACAAAAAAGTTCTACAAGGTTACGTACAGTTGACACCCACCAAAAAAAACACCCTGTATTGCAATTAATCTAAATTTTAACATCTTACCAAACACTTGCGTGTTGACATCTTGTGGCTTACGACCAATAAAATTAAAACCAAATAATTATTCAAAATTTGGTGCCATTTTACAAGTTATACCTGAAGTTATTCTAGCAAAACCTAAATTACCCTGTATAGGTAATCACAGCAATGTTTTTAGAATGCCTGGTTAGGAAAACTTGGTGTTATGTGTGCGGTTAGTTCAAAAGCGTCCATTACATCATATCCAGTGTTGTCTCTCACATTGGATCCGTCAATATCGAAAATTAACTGTTGCCGGTGTGCCCCGACTCTATATCAATACCGAATTTGCCGACGAAAATGTCCGCCGCCCGATTTAAAATTCAATTCATACAACGTTGGCAGACGTGGTCCACTTTATAAAGTGTTCCCGGCATATACGTCAAATCTAGCCAACTTTTTTTTTTTATTTTTTGCTTCCTTTGTTCGTTACGCTGCCACGCTTTCTGGGGATATTAAATTTGATATGTACGTATGAACGTCAACCTTTTTTTTTGTTTGCAGCGAGGAGGGATTTTAAAGCAGAAGAGAGATTTTTTTATAGAATAAACACGAAACTGAAATATTGAGTTTAGTAACAAGAAATGTTCTCGTAAATTGGTAAATTTAAACCGTGAACGCATACAAAAAACTTTGTTAAATAGATAAAGATACCATTTATTTTTATGATTGGTGTCCATATGTAACTTAAATCTCTTGTGTATATTAAGCCATCCTGAAATCTCTAAGTAATTTGAAATATGGCGACGACATCGTACAAGGTAAATATTAACCTTAGACATGAGTTTTGAAGTTTTTGTACACGCC